TCCTTGGCTGATCAGCCTAAGACTTGGCTTTGCTCAGCCTCTGCTCCAGCGGCTCTGCCAGGCACCCGCCTCCACTCCCGCCGGCCTGCAGATCGCCTGCCTTCCTGCCTGGGCCCCTTCTCAGTCCCTGTGTTGGTGCCGGCTGCTCTGAGTTTCTCCGACCTTGACCTTGCCGCTGTGCCTTAGCCTGCCAGAGCCGGGCCTAAGCCTCGTTGGGCTTTAAGCACTTCTCTTCAGTGCTTCTGTCCTGCACAGGGTCTCGGGTTGCTCGGCGCTATTTCTGTGCTTCCGTTCAGCCTCCTCCCTCCCCGCTCCCCCCACACACCATGGTCCTGGCCATCCCACTCCACCCACAGTCTGGACCCTCCCCGCTCCCTTTTCTGGTGGCTCCAGATGCGGAGCTCCTCTGTCCCCCACATCCTGCTCCTCCAGCTTTTCACTAGCAGGGTTGCTGTCCTTAACTCCGTACTGCCTGTCCCTTGGAGAGAGCGAGCCCCACTTTCTAGCCTCTTCATCAGGGCCTTAGGAGTCTTCCTCTGCCTCTTCTGAGCCTTTTAAACTTGGTCAATTAAGATCTTAATGTTATTTAAATAAAGTAATACATGTACATGATTTTTAAAAATTCAAGTAGTAAAGGTTAAGTACCCCTTATCTGAAGTGCTTGAGACCAAATGTTTAGGAATGTTTGCATACACATAAGGAGAAATCTTGTGGAGGGGACCCAAGTCTAAACACAGAATTCATTTCTACTTTATGTATATCTTATATCCATAGCATGAACATAATATTCTCCAGGACTTTAGTGTGTCTGTGTTTTGACTGTGACACACCACGTGGAAGTCAGGTATAGAATTTAGGTCAGGTGGGAATTGTTCACTGTAGGGTCATATGAACACTCATAGTTTCAGATTTTGTAGCATTACGTTGTAGATGTTCATTTTAGGGATACCGGACTTGTAGAATAAAAGTATATAGAGGCAGGTCTACTTGATGCCAGTTTGTGTATTCTTCCAGAGATGTTAGATCTGTAAACAAGCGTGTACGTAGGTTCATCTCCCCACTTCATTTATTTTATTTTATTTTTATTTTAAAAATAAAAGGAGGAAAACATTAACAGACAGATAACCTTTTACAAAGTAGCAAAAGAACAGTACAGACAGTACAGAGTTACAAACAAAGTGGTAGGAAATTAACAATGCTTGCTGTATTACATATTGATATCTTCAAAGTCCCCACTTCATTTCTTCCATCCACATTATTTTTAAACACAGATATTATACACACAGTCCTGGATATTGCTTTTTTTTTATATAGAACTGTGTCTTGGAAGTAAATTTACATCAGAATTAGAGCACTGCCTCATTCTTTTAATGGATATAAAATTGATTTATAAATATACCACTGCGTTAGCAGCTTTCCTGTTGGAGGATGATTGCAATACCTGGCACCCACAACTTAAAGAAAGACAAGTTTAATTTGGTTCACAGTTTTAGAGGATTTAATCCATAGTCAGCTGACTCCAAGGCAGAAACATCATGGAGAGAACAGTAGCCAGGCCTTTTTGGACCAGGGGTACAGCAGCCTTTGAGTACCTGGATGGTTGAGCATGGCAGAATGAAGCCTGGGTAACCAATTCTCTAGGCAGCCCTTCAGGAGCAAGAATGCCAGGGACTCTCTTCTCAAATGAGTGGTTATTCTTCTGCACCTTTGAGCCTGCCTTAGGTGGCATCTCACTGGTTTGTGAGATGCCCTCAAGGCATCTTTCTTTTTGTCCCTGTATAAAGTACAGTACTTAGTTTCTTTTTAATGGTGCTAGTCTCTTTTGACCCACACCTCCTTTGCCTCCAACTTTACATATGGTTCCTTCAGGGCTAAAATTTAAGTTTTTCAAATTTTTCACCTCTACTTTTTGCCCCCAATTTATCTACTCAAAGAAGCTAGCAGTACCCATGCCACAGACTGAATGTTGGGCTGTCTTCAAATTTTTTCTGTCACATTAATTAGTCTATTGCCCTTTATCTCAGTCTTTTGCAAAGTTTCAGGACATGGGTAAAATGCAGACAAATTTTGTGCCAGAGCATAATACCCATGCCCTCTAGTCTAACTGCCAGTGGAGTCCTTGTTCTCAACTGAAACCTCCCAAGTCTGGATTTTACTGTCTGCTTTCCTATCAGCATTCTGGTCTTCTGAGCTCCAACCAGAATCTGTCATCAACCTCTGCTTACAGCAATCTGGGGTTTCTCTAATCTGCATCTCCAAAGCCTTCCAAAATCCTCCCACAAGCCAGTTTCAAAGGCTTCTAAAATACAGGATTGCAATTTTGCAATGACCCTTCTTTTCTGGTACCAGTTTTCTGTATGAGTCTGCTTTCTTAGGACTGGACACATACCTGGCGCCCATAGTTTAAAGGAGAAGAAGTTTAATTTGGCTCATGATTTTAGGAGATGCAGTCCATGGTCAGCTGGCCTAAGGCAGGAACATCATGGCCAAACAGCGGGGCAGAGCAAAGATGCTTAGTTTGTGGTAGCCAGGAAGCAGAGCAGGAGAACGGTGTCAGAGAGGAAGAGTCGAAGGACCAGACAGACCTCAGGACCACACCTCGGTGACCTACCAAGACCCAAGCAGAAGTGTCTTCCTCCAATCCCTTGGGCGGATTCCCAAGTCAATTAAGTTAATGCTCCACCCTAACTATCACAGCCATCATTAATGGACTACTAAAGGATAATTATTTTCAATCTTTTTTTAAATTTTTGCTGCAAATACTGCTTCAGTGAGCATTGTTACATCAGTCTTTGTACCCAGTGGGCACAACTGTATCTGTGTGGAAAGTCTTAAAAGTGGAATGGCTGGAGTGAAGGGTTTATGCAGTTTCATTTTCCACGTGAAGAATTTTTTTAAATTTCTTTGTCTTGCTGGGTGTGGTGGTGCACGCCTATAATCCCAGCACTCAGCAGGTTGATGTAGGAGGGTTGCCATGAGTTCAGGGCCACCCTGGGCTACATAATGAATTCATTGCTGGTCTGAATTACATAGTGAGACCTGTCTCAAAAAAAAAAAAAAAAATTCTATGTCTTATGTTATTGCCTCTCCCATCTCTGTTTATATGCAGTTGATTTCTTGAATTTGTCTGTTTTTTAAAATATTCATTTTTTTCCTGTTTCTTCTGAGTTCTGGTTTATTGTTTGCTTTCTATAGTTTACAGTTCCTGTGATCACTGATCTCTAAATGTGACCATCATTTTTTTTGTTTGCTTCTAAGAACTCTTTATTTTTCTCATTTTTATTTTTTCAAGACTACTGGCCTTTTATCTTGTACTCTTTTGTGGAAGATAGCATATATACAGAAAAGTACACAAATTTTAAGTATTCACCTTGATGAATTCTTAAAACATGCACCTTATATAGCCAGTACCCAGATAAAGAAGCAAATATTACTAACATCTTGAACATCCATAGTGCCCTCTTCTAGTTATAATTTCTCCACAGGTCATTGCTGTCTTGAATCCTAACATCATAGATTCATTTTGCCTCATTGTTTTTGCCTTTATATAAATGTCAGTCATTATACAACACATCCTACTTCTCCCTTCTCTTCTATAACACTGTTGGAAGAGTGTGGATGTAGTTCCCAGTACTATATAATAACAGTGGTGGTGAACCTATGGCACACATACCATACCTGGCTATTTGTTATCCTTGAGAGCTCTAAAAGGTTCGCTGTCACTGCTGTGTAGTATTCTGTTGCAGGAATGTATAATAATGCTTGCACTCACTCTACTGCTGAGGGACACTTAATTTCTAATTTGGGGCTATCACAGATAATGTTACTATAGGTAGTTATGCTGTGCTGGTGGTTATGTCTTCTGGGCCACATATCACAGTTTTGTTGTGTATACATCTAAGTGTAGAATTTCAGACTCATCAGGCATATAGATGTTAAAATCTAAAGCGATGGTCTCATTTTGTATTTTCACAGGGGTCCTAGTTTTTCCTTATCCTTGATATACTTTGTCTTTTTCATTTTAGACTTTTGGGAAGGTTCAAAGCAGCATATAGTAAGTCCCCAACTTACAAACATTCAAGCTGCAAACTTTCACAGATATAAATAGACCTCACATTACCCATTCATAGATAGGAACAGATCGTGAAAGTAGCTCACATATCTGCCTGACACTGTCGCAGTTGTGCTGCCGTGTGCTCACTGCACAGTGCCATAGTGTGCCGTAGTACAGAGCTCCCTCGGAGCCCAGGGTGTCAGGAGAGAGGGAAAGCAGTGCAGGGGACTGCTAGGAAGCACAAAGCAATAACCATAGAAACAAAAGTAAAAATATAGTATAAGAATCACTTTCACTTGGTCGGACTCACGAATGACTCTGGACGTGCGAATGTTCTCCTGGAACAGAACTTGTTCATAAGCTGGGGACTTACTATGTTTTGTTGTAGTTTTAGTTTTTGTTTATCTGATAATTTGTGACATTGAGCACATTTTCATTTGTTTTTTGGTCCTTTGGATATCTTCATTTGTGAAGTGCCTGTTGACATTTATTTTTCCGCTTTAAAAATTATTTTTAAAAGAACATTTGGCTAGCTGGTATGTCATGTTTGTAACAAAACCTTTTCCCTTGATTCTTTTTTATTTTATCTTGGCTCATCCCTCACCTGGTATTTCTTTTCTAACAAGTGAACTTGAGAACCAGTGACCTCAACTCCTTTAGAATTATTGGTGAATTTGCATGGAACTTACTTTACTTGGGAAAAACTGGCATCAGAATTGGAAGATGATATTGTTATATTTCTAAGAAGAAGAGGAAGAGGAGGAGGAGGAATAAGAAAGGGGAATACTAAACTCTCCCAGTTTTGTACTTAGCAGATTACATTATTTATTATCCCTATACTTCATTCTAATTTATTTTCTTTTTTGACAAATGCTTATTAGAAACTAAAGTCTTTAGTGTACATGTAAAATGCAGCCTCCTTTGTAAGAATACAAATATTTTACAGGTGCTTGATCAGTATGAACAAGAAGGATTTAATTTCCTGGCGAAGGTGTTTAACTCTTCACATTCGTTCTTAGAAGACCTGACCGGCCTTACACTGCTGCATCAGGAGACCCAGGCTGCCGAGGTAAGAACACAGAGAGCTCTGTCCGAGGGTTCAGGCCTGAAACCTACTTGGTATTCGTTCTTACAGGAAAGGAAGGAAGCACTTAATGTCACCTTTTCTTCTGAGAGCGCGAATCACTGAATAAGTCTGCTGGTTACCACAGGGGAGAGCCTTCAGCAGTCGCTGGTCACTGATGTGTGCAGTTCGCTGTCTTCCTGGTACCCAGGCTCAGGTGTGCTGCTAAAGGAAGTGCAGGCGATTGGATCGTGTGCGCTTATCCTTGCCGAAGCTGAGCGCAAGTGCGGCCTTTGGAGAGCTGGCTCCGATCTCTGCACATCATGTGCAGGGTACTGTGGGCACCCGGCCCTGCTCATGCTCTTTAATTAGCAACAGTGTGCCTGGCATGTGGCTCGCGGTCTACTCAGTCTTCTCAGCACTGAACTGCACCAGGGAAGGGCTGCCCCAGTCACACCTGGGGAGCATTAGCATTGTTTCTCAGAATATTTTACAGATTCTCACTTTCTGGATCACAGCAGAATTTTAACCCCCCAAAAAAACTGAGCCTAAAACCTACCTTATCATTTTGTTTTCCCAAATGCTCGCCTTCTTAAAAAAGAGGGATGGTGTGCATGGGGGTGGAGCTGTTCGGATCAGTTGGCTAGACATACAATTCCCCCTTGGCCTGGGTAATGAGAGTGAGATCGATGTCTCATAAGTTGACATCTTTGCCTTCTTGTCACTTGGGTGAAGAAGCTGTTGGGTGAGATGCGGCCCCTGGTGGTGTTTCTGCAAGCCACCTAAGGAAATCCTTGACCTCTGTGTCCTGCAGGAGGGCCATGGGTCACTGTCCCGCTAGGAACACCCTGCAGGCTGTGCATCTTCTGGTTGGTGGAGGCCACAGGTGGAACAGCCAGTGATGTGGGGGCTGCCGTCGGCAGGGGCAGAGATGGAGTCCAACTCCTTGGAGTATTGAGGGCGAGAGGGAGGATGAGATTTTCAGACACACTAGGGAAGCCGTAGCACACCTCTAGCCTGGATTTAGAACTGAAATCTGAGCTTGTGCACCTTGTTTTGGTGTCTTCTGGGCATGAAACAGATGCAGTCTTCTACTAACAGTAGCTAGAGGCCAGGGAGTCTCTTATCTTCAGTTTTAGGAGATAAAGCCATCTCTGCAGGCCCAGGAGAGACTGCGATTTCCAGCATTTCTGTGGTGTTTAGGCCTCTGTTTGGTCTTCTGAGCAATGCAGCACTGGCCGCCCTGCCTGGTGGTGTGGGAGAAGCAGTTTGGAGATCTCTTCCACCATGCAATCATCTGATGAGTGGCTCGGGGGAGTTTTGCCACCCGGCTAGAAACCATCTACATAGCCCTCTCCACTTGGCTAAGAGAATTGCAACTTGAAGTTGACCACATTTCACTCTTTCAAACAGGGAAGTTGCTAGGATAATGGGCAGATTCCTTGATCAAATGTGGTACATCTTGCTTTTTGGTTGGTCAAATGTTGATAGCCTGTTTAAAGGTTCAGAAAAGAAAGGGAAGTTTAAGAGAGCAATTATGGCTAAAGAGATGGTGGGAAAAATGGGCACAGTTTCACCTACAAGCCTGAGTTTTCCTCCATGAAGTTATAGTTTTGAAATCGTAAGTCACACGTCGGGTTTCAGATTAGAGGTGGTAAACTGGTTGGCCGGTGAGCCAGATGTGGCTTTGCAACAGTAGTGTTTTTGTCCTGGCCTATTTAAAAATCACAAGTTTTATATAAAAATCTGAGTTTTTCCATTTCCAACTTCTTTGAAAGTATTAGATCTGGCAAGTCTAGGCCCACATTCTTTAATCGTGATGCTTAGCTGGAGCTGAGAAACAAATTTCATAGATAATGCACTTGATACAAAATTTGAAGGCATTAATATCTGCTGTGAAGGGCTGGGATGTAGCTTAATGGTTCGATGCTTGCCTGACATGTGTAAGGCCCTGGGTTTCATCCATGACACTGGGGATACAAAACAAAACTTTTATCCCAGGCGTGATGGCGTATGTCTGTAATCCCAGCACTCAGGAGGCTGAGGTAGGAGGATCTCTGAGAGTTCAAGGTCAGCCTGGCTACATAGTAAATATGAGTTCAAGCCAGCCTGAACTGCATAGCGAGACCCTGTCTCAAAAAACAATAAGACAAAAAAAATTCTATGACAAGGAACTCGGCCCTGCATGATGGCTCCTTGTGCCTGTAATCCCAGCACTCTGGGAGCCCCAGGCGGGAAGATGACAAGTTAGAGCCCAATCTGAACAACTTGGCGACTTAGCAAGATCCTGTCTCAAAATAAAAAATAAAAAGGGCTGGAAACGTAGCTGTGTGTGAAGGACCTAGGCTTAATCCCCATTACCACACGCTTGTTATCAGGTAGCTCGTTTCTAAAAAGTGGCTCTCCAACTAAACGTTACCGGGTTCTGGATTGCTCGTCTCTCCTTCCTGAGTTGGATTCCAGGTTCTTCTTGTCTTAAATAAATAATTGAATGAAATAAGCAAAAAGCAGTGTCAAAGTTTATTCAAGAAAGCAAAAATGAAGAGTGGGAGAGAAACTGGCTCTGCAGAGCTAGCTTGGACTGAGTTAATACAAAAAGAGGGAGAGAGCAAAGATAAAAGTACACACTGCATCTGGGAAACACAGCCTGGGCTATCATGGAAAGTTATGATAACACCAGCTCCTCATGGCTGCCATTCTTTTATACTGTCTAAATCTGGAAACCAAGAGAACTTCCACATCTGGGTCCTGCGAAGTGGTGCTGAGACTCCAAGTCTCAGGCTGACGAGAGGTCTAGGCCATCCTTTGGAAAACCTGCTCAAGTTTTCGCGAGAAGTCCATGTGCAGGGATTTGGGAGCTGTTTTGTGCATGTGTGGAGGATCTTGTAGTTAATAGGTCATGCCTACTCCCCAGCCAGCTTTGACCACTCCGTAATCTCCTATTTTATATATACATAAAAAGTTCTTCCTTCTAGACCTGTGCCTTAGCCCCCAGTTCCTTTCTTGGGGACACAGCTGGAGACAGACATGGCTGTCAGTTTCTTGCCCAAAGATATTGTGTCAAGGATATTCTCCATGTATTTGATGCTGTGCAGTTGATGACTCTTATAGGTATTTGGGGTTTTCCCCTCTTAAGAAAGGATCATTATGTTCCTTAAAAAAGCTCTAAATAGGACTGTTGTAAGCGAAAACTCAAAATACAGTACTCACCAGAGGACCTCATGTATCATTGTCCTACTTAAGCCATTTTATATCACCGTGAAAAATGTGTGTGCTTGTGTGTGTGTGTATATATATACATATATATATATAAATTATATCCACATATATGTGTGAAGACTGTTTTGATGTACATAACTTGATTTCTAATGCATTTACAGTTATTCAGTATAAAAATACAGAATCATTCATTCTATATGGAAAAGTCCCAGTTCAATTTTAGCAATGCAGTCAAGATGTTGAATTAGTTCTCATTTGGATTAATTGCTTTCATCAGTCAACATTGGACTTATAAAAATGTCAATAGATATGCAAACATTTCAACTAGATGGTCCAGTGTGACAGTACTCTAGCTTTTCTAGTGTGGTGCTGGGCGCAAACCTAGGCCTTCATGCAGTCTAGACAAGTGCCCTGAGTATACCTTTAAAAAAAACTACTGAGCATCTTTTGCAAACCTTGTACTAGACGCTGTGCTAGTAAATAACCTCAGGGTTAGTGACTCATGAGATGCTGACCCTTGTGGGCGTAGTCCGGTGTGAGAAGCGGAGATGTAAAAGTGAGTACAGCTGTCACTCAGAACGTTTGTCCTTTATGTATCAAGTGCTGAGAGGGCAGGTGCTCCTGAGCCCAGGGACAGGATAGCAAGGAAAGCTCCTGGGAGAAAACAGAAGCTGCCTTCAGTTAAAGGACCAGTAGGCTCCGTTTAAAAACCAGAGTTGGATGTGGGCAGGACCAGAGGCCTGGGGCCTTCTCAGCGGATGCGGGCCTCCAAGGCTGAGTCATCCTGTGTCTCAGAATCATGGCTTGAAGCCAGAATTGCCTGAAATCAAGGTATTTGTGGCTTTCTTGACTTACAATTCATGAGTGAGAAACCTCATCCTTTTCTAAAGCATATGGTTCCATGGTTTTTAGTATACTGAGTCCTGCTACCTGTACCATTCTCTACACTTACATTTTCATTACCCCCAAAACAAACGTCGTACCCAATGAGCGATCACTCCCACCCCTCTCACGCCACCCCTTGGCAAGCACCAGTCTCCATTCCGTCTGCGAGTTTACCTCTCCTGGACACATCACACAAATAGAATGACAGTGTGACCTTTATGTCTGATGTCTTTCACTTAGCATCAGGCTTCATCCATGTTGTAGCAAGATAATTCTTTTAATTTAAAGAAAAGTTCTGATATTCTTAAAGTTTCCCATGACTTTTAGCACCTCTGTTTATTAGCCTGTCTCCCCCTTTGTGAAGGAAGAGTGCAAAGCAGAACCCTGTTAGAGACAGCAGGTACCTTTATTTTCACAGGAACGGGTGTCGTTACGGGCTGGAAGACACATCCAGATTAGTGAGGCTGACTGGTGTAAGCCAGCTTCGTGCGCCCACCTCCTGCCCTACGACATACCCCAAAACAGCAGCAGTCGGATGTGGGCTCCGGGTGTGGTCACACTGCTATTGAGAGAAGTGGGGAAACGACCAGAGCAATTTCTGTCAGCAGAGGGGCTGAGACGCAGGGTGGGGATCAGGCCTAGGGGACCAGGCTCACCAGGGTGGGGATGACTTGGGGTGATGGAGCGAGGGAGCGAGGATGGCCAGATGGGGATGGGGGCAAAAAAGGTCTGGTAAATTGACAGCATTAGATAAAGGAAAAGTACCCTTTTCGGTTTACCACAGCAAGGAGCAGCCATAGAGCTAGAATGCAGTTTTTTAAACTTTAAATGAGAAACATATGTGGTAAGGGCCAGGCACGGTGATGCACACCTGCTGCAATCCCAGAACTGGGGAGCCTGAG